AGTGTTTTGATGGACATGCCTCGAGAAAATATGCAGTAGTTATGGGTTTTTATCTTGTTTTTGCACTCAAGCAGGGGGAGATATATTGGCTTGATGCATTTTGAACTGCATTGATGATTTGGCGTTGCCTTGTATGAGAAGTTGCTTGTGTTGCACAAACTAAGAAAAAGGGAGAGCTAAGGAGTTGGTTATTGACAGAGAAGACAGATTTATCTGGCAAATTAAAGCAAAATTTCTCATCCGATCCTATAAAGTGTGACTCGAGGCTGCATCTGTTGGAATCACATGATCAATGTCTATGCCTGAAGTTGAGAACAACAGTTGTTTGGAGAACTATCTTCTGTGATCCTGTCTTACCTTGGAAACGATGATTTGGAGAAGATGAGTATTGAGTTGTTGATGATGGGTTCTTAACTTGAACCAATAACCAGGCGGTCAAGAAAAATCAGGGATTGGTTTCATGAGTTTTCGATGGTCATTAAAAGTGAAAAAAGAAGCTAAATGAGTGGTCTTGTTTTGCTAACCACGTTCATCATATGGTTCTCAAAAGGAGAGAGTTTTAAGGTTAGCTCAAGGATTGTCTTTACGTGAATTCAACAGTTGTGATGAGATCTTTGGTGGAGAATCTGTTTACTTGGTTGAACCTCAAGCTCTGGAAAACCATAATGGCTTCATAATCAGGCTAAGGAGGTTCATTGTGAAGAAAAAGGAAGAGCTACTCAATTCAGGAGGTGATGATTGATGAGAGTCGTTATTGTCTAGTTTTTGATTCTAGCCTAAGCAAGTGTGTTGATGAGTGATTTCAGTACATAATCGGAGGTATCATGTAGCTGAGAAACGAATTGAGATGAGCTCTATTCTCTGTAAGAAAAGTATAGAGGATGAGTTCCGGAAGAATCACTTCTATTTCAAGATTAGAAAGGCTGGTGGTTTTGATTGCTGTATTTCATCAAGAGAAGCTTTTGAGAGTTTGAGTATTCTGCAGAAATCATCTCTTTGGTATTTGATTTGCTAAGAGGTTATTGATTGGAGGAGATCTCTGGGTTTAATGGGAAGTGAAGTTATGATTCTCAAGAGAAGAGATCTGAATTCTCATGTTAACACTAAGGCATGAAATTCATCATGCCTTGATTGAAGACAACATCAGCAAAGAGCATGAGCTTTCAAGTTTTTTTTTTTGGACGATTTAAGATCGTTCTGAATAACCTGCAGTTTTACATTATGGATATGAAGAATGTTAACACGCAGGCTGCTCAGTCAAGGAATGCTGATCTTTATGAACTCAAAATCTGTGAGAAAGAAACCAAGAGGTGAAACATTGTTTTCTGCATTATGTGATCAAGTCAGGAGAGTAGATGTGTTGGTGTCTTTGGGAATTGCAGACTTGGTTCACTCATGAGAGGTCTGATGGAACAGAAACTGTAACAACGTCAGTAGCTGCTAGAACAAAGGCTAACATTGACGACGCTTAAGCGATACGTAATTTGCATTGAGGGAGTGTTTTTTTGGTATTGTTTTTTAACTTAGTTATGTACTCAAGCAGGGGGAGATGAAGTGGAGCTTAACTTATGGGGGAGTTGTACGGTTCTGAAATCTGGGACCGTTTGTGCTCTCTTGCAGAAGGACTTGAGTATCAAACTAAGCTAAAAAGGGGGAGAATGAAAGAGGTTCAAATTCTCAAAGCTAAGCGGTGATGCATTCAGCTGTTGGTGCGTTGTATTCTGGTGATATCTAAGTCAAGCCGAAAGTAAGTTTCAAAGATATCTCATATGTTTGAGAATATACCATTAAGAGGGAGTTCATGGATCATCAAGTTATGAGATATTAGTATCGTGATGACAGTATGCTTGAGTTCTAAAATGCAGTCATCGAGGGGGAGATTGTAAGTGTAACGCTGACTGATTTGAGAAGATGCTGATACAGGATGAGATATCAGTGATATATTCATTGAATGCTTAAGTTCTAAAACGCAGTCATCAAGAGGGAGATTGTAAGTGTATATGCTGACTGGTTTGAGAAGATACATAAACAGGATGTGCTACAGCTTAAGGCAGTACTTGTTGCAAGTGCTGATGCAGTGTTGATCGAGTTCTAGTACATGCATCATGAAGATGCAGTTGACTGAAGCACTTAGCGTATCTGTCACGAAGTAGTACAGAGAGTCGTGTTCAGCAAAAGGGCTTAAGGAATCGATCTGATGGGCTGGACATTTGCTTGTAGCTGATGAGGACGAGTCTAGAAGATTCTAGAAGAGTCAAGAGCTGAGTTGGACGAAGATATTAGCAGCTATCAAGCAAGTAGGAATATTTCCTTTTCCTAGAGAAAAATAAGGAAAGAAATATTCTCTTGGAGATTTGGAGTGGTCACCAAGGGAGAAACCTTGTAGGGTTTCAAGGCGTGCCTATTGTGGATAAATAGGGCGTGGAGAGCATTGGATGTGCTTAACCCATACACAACGAAAAGATGCCTTAGCGAAAGGCTTTGGGGTCCTATGAAGATCGCAGCCGTTGAGAGTCTCTAAGATCGTGGATAGATCTAGAACTCTAAGATCGTGGATAGATCTAGCGGTGTTGCTCCGGTGCTGCCGGATGATAGTCAATCATGCGGGGTTGATATCTATCTTCATAGCTTATCCATCTAGAAAAGAATGGTAGGCATTGTAGTGCTGGATACCATATACAATTGTAATTGTACTCTTGTTCTAGTGGATTTGATCTGGACTAGGTCCCGGGGATGTAGGAAACGAACCTCGATAAAAAACTCTATGTGTTCTTTACCTTTATGCACGCACATACTCATTACACACTTGAACATATAGAGATAGGCACAAATACGAATTTTCAACTTGTTCTTCCATTGCAGTTACTCGGCTCAGGTCTGGTCGTCCTTTTTCAATCATTCATCAATTTCCCCTCCTATGTCCTTCGACCTTATTGTCAATTGGGTTAAAGCAAACAATCTCCATCACAACCCAAAGCTTATTTGTAAGCTTCTGTTTCAAGCGGCAGTTTATTACATTTGGAGGGAACGTAATTCCAGACTCCACTCTTCTTCACCAAAGACATCCCAATCCTTGGTAAAGGAGATTCAACTTCTTATGCGAGCTAAGTTGGCAGGACTAGACAGGGCTTTGATCACAAAGAGAGCGCTGTCTCCAGGAACACCACCTGCTTCAACACAAACCCTCCTTTACTCTTGGTTCGAACTTCTCCAAACCTAAGTCCTCTTTCACGAGTACTAGTATTTGTATTCTTACTATCTTCTGCTTCTTGTATCTCCTTAAATCATCTTGTACTTTAAATGATACCCTATGAGGATAAGATGAAAAAAAAAAAAAAAAACAGACAGAGTATAGAACTTGAGTTCTTTTTTTTTCGCTGAATTTATCATATTATCACAGATTATTAAAAATGTTACAATGAAGATTCTGCACGAACAATAAAGTTTTTTTTTTTCATCAAAATAATTCATTAAAAGCTGCGAGCCTCAAAGTTCAAAAAGGTATGAGTTAATTTATTAGACAATTTAGCCATGGGCATAATACCATGACCCAAAATATCAAACCCGAACCGACCCATATCAAAAGGTATTGAACCTAACCAAAACCAACATAAATACGTGATAGATACTCTCTGTTTCACAATATAAGGACTTTTAGTTTTTTTATTCTTGTTTCATTTTTATAAGTGTTTTCAAATTTCTATGCAAAATTAAATGTGTATTTCTTAATTTTGATTATTTATATTCTATTAATGCTCATAACTTTTTGGGTTTCTCGCTCGTTCTTTATAACATAATTCCACAAAAAGTTTAGCCATGGGCATAATACCATGACCCAAAATATCAAAACCCGAACCGACCCATATCAAAAGGTATTGAACCTAACCAAAACCAACATAAATACGTGATAGATACTCTCTGTTTCACAATATAAGGACTTTTAGTTTTTTTATTCTTGTTTCATTTTTATAAGTGTTTTCAAATTTCTATGCAAAATTAAATATGTATTTCTTAATTTTGATTATTATATTCTATTAATGCTCATAACTTTTTTGGGTTTCTCGCTCGTTCTTTATAACATAATTCCACAAAAAGTTTGTCTTGGTTAAGATAGGGATCTGCCTAGCTAAGCAGTGCCATGCGAAAGTTAAGGGGGCTCATGGCAATTTTTTTAAAATGGGGCCTTTGCAATATAATTACTTTTATTTAGATAATTATAAAATAAATAAACAAAAAAAAAATCAAAATAACACTCTAGTCTAAAACTTAAAACTCATCCGGTTTGGTTTTGTAATTTCGTTTTTTTCAAAAAAAAGCAATAAAAGGGTAATAAAAGTAGACTCAAACTTGAGTTATGCCCTTTATTATAACATGTCAAAGCCACTAGGCTACTATAACTTCAATAAAGTGGGGCCTCTATAAACTAATACATTTTGGGGGCTCAGTGCAAATGCACTATTGGAAACAAAGGGAGCACGGCTCTGTAGCTAAGGCCATACTTTGTGTAGGTTTTAGATCTATAATCATCACGTATTGTTCTGTTATGCACCAATTATTTAGGTTTTGTTGAACTGTTCAGTGAATCTCATTTCTCGGCCCAGCCCAATCAAAAGGAGATGCATGCAATTATTTGAATGTTCATTTACGTCACACATGCATGTGATTGCTATTATAGTTTCCACCACATGTCTTTGTATGTCTACATAACGATAGCTTCAAATGATTAAAGGAATAATTAAGAGGAGGTACTCAACACAAACGATTAAAGTTGGATCCTCTTAAGTATTCCTTTACTAAGTGGTTGCCATACCTCTGCAGAGAAACGACAAGCAAGATTACGTATTTACGTGCATTACATAACCATATATTCGGTAACATATTAACATCATCTTTATGCCATACTTCATCGTTTTCAAGAGCTTTTCAGTGTGTTTAAAAAAAAAAAAAAAGACAGCAAGAAGAAGAAGGCCTGTCTTTGTCTCTCCAGTCGAAAAGACACTTTTACCCTTGGAGATAATAGGACGAATAGCGATGTCTCACACTCTCTCTTCATTCGACATCTTTCTCTCTTGATCTCGGTTATCGACAACGGCTCTATCTGAAGAGGAGACGAATTTAGTTGCTGGAAACCTTAAATTTGGCTTGAATTTCAGGCGATCTTGTGGAGATGAGTAACAGCAAGCTTCTCACAGTCGAGCCTCTGTGCCTTCAGTTCCATTGTAATCTTTCTTTTGACCTTTTTTTGTTGTTTTTTCCTCCATTTTTGCATGTCTTCTTGTCCCAGCACCCGATTATGTTGAGTTACGATGTTTATTAAATTTCTCACGTTTACTCTCTCATTTGATTGATGTAGTTAAATTGAAAAAGCACCTCTCTTGCTCTTTTTACTTGAAGAACAACTCAGACAGTAACGTGGCCTTTAAGGTGATCATCCTCTTTTAGGGTTTCGGAATCAATAAATTATTGTGACTCTCTCTTGTGTTTCTAAGTCTTTTCAAGTTGTTTTTTTATAATTATTTTAGGTTAAGGTGACGGATGCGAGTAAATATATCGTTAACCCTAGATCTGGAGCTGTTCCTCCAAGGTCAACTCGTGAAGTTTGTGGTATGTTCTTTAATCTTTCTCTTGGGATGGAATTTTTTTTCTTGTTAATTTCAATTGCTAAACCTTGTTCTTGGATTTAGGAATTTGATGAAACCCTGTCTGGTGTTTTTCTAGTAACCATGATTGCTCAAAAGGAAGAACCTTCTGAAATTCAGATCAAAGACAAGTTTATGATTCAAAGTGTATTAGCTGATCTTGGAGTCACGGACAAAGAAGTTACTGATGAGATGGTACTGATTTCACATCGCCTCTTTTGATTAATTAATTAATTTATCACAGTTTGGCTTTTGGTTCCTTGAAGCATTTGTTTATTTTTGTACAGTTTTACGATGGAGGGTGGCGTCAAGTTGAGCAGACTATATTGAAAGCTACTTATGATTTCTCCTCCACAAGTTCTTGCAAATGCCTCTAAATTTTCTTTTAAGTGTACATGTCTTAGATTTGAGCGTTTTGGTGATACCTGTTGTCTTTACTTGTTGTAAACACTCTTGAAAATATGTTTCTTGCTATGGAGTTAGAGCTGCTTGCTACGAAAATGCTAGTCTTACCAATGTAGAAATGATCTTTCCATCGTATTTATCAGCTCGTAACTCAATCTTTCCATCTTTTGTATCATAAAGACATAAACCATGTGTTGTTCTACAACATTCCTCGTATAATGCAGATGTAATTTCTGAGTCAAAAGAGCTGTAACCCCGTGGGGATTTTCTAATTTATAAAAAATGGAAGTTTAAAGTAAAAAAAAAAAAAGAAAAAAAAGAAACATTCCTCGTATAATTGTTTTCTGTCAAATGACGCGGGCATATGTATATGGTTTGTGTGAGCTTCATATTGCCTTCGTACAAAACCATATTGCCTTACATAAAACTATTGGATTTGTTCACTTGGGCCACATACAAGTTTTCAGAGTGCAAGAGAAAATAGGCGTGGGCTAAGATGTCATGATGAAGCCCATATCACGAAAATGCAGAGATTAAAAGAGAACGAGGCTGGAGTCGGTTTAATGACGTTCATATAAAAGACAGAGAGTATATCTAGGCATTATGTATTCTCTTCAGTAGCTTGTTATCTAGGGTTTTTTTGTGGTTTCTCTCTTAGCACAAAACCTGTAACGAAGTACCCAAAAATACAATTAATAAACCAAATATATTAGTTATGTTTAGACCTAAATACCTAAAGACTCCCAAAATATCAAAAATTTTTAATTATACTCCCTCCATTTCATAATAAGTGTCGTTTAAGGTTTTTTCACACATATTAAAAAGAGTAATTGCATCCAGTAGCCATAGGAAGTGACATAATTAAGAATTCAACAAATGGGTTACTTGGCTTGAGTCATGTAAATATTTTGGACCCGTTTATCCCCACTTTAACCCCACACTCTCTTGGCAACTCAGAGGGTTTTTGTCGTCACACACTTAATGGAAAAACAAGAGAGAGAATGTTTCATGTGTGTGAACTGTGTGAAAATTTAAAAATCTACAAATTTAATTTCAAAACACGAAAATAGCCATTGGACCTTTACTCCTTACTATGAGTCTTTCAGAGTTTCCTGTGGAGACCTCACAAATTCCGAGAACCCTAGGCGAAGCACGGTAATTCGCAACGCTTAGCATGTTATATAGTTGAAGCACATAACTAAATATAGCAAAATACACACATATACATATATGTATATATAGTATATATATAGTTCTTTTAAGCTTAGCATGTTATAATAAAACATTTTTTTTAAGTATAATTAAATGTTTTGGTTTCATCTATATGTTATAACAAGTTATATATTTTTATAACACGCTAAAATATTTTATGATATCATATATATAAATTTTCAATTCATTTTTATGTGTTATTTATTTTTTTATCGCGTTATAAATAAACATAACAAGTTATTTATTTTTATAACATGCTAAAATATTTTATGATATCATATATATCATTTTTGGATTCATTTTTACGTTTTATTTATTTTTTTATCCTGTTATTAATAAATAGAACAAGTTATATGTTTTAATAACATGCTAAAACATTTTATGATATCATATATATCCTTTTTATTTATTTTTATGTGTTATTTTTTATCATGTTATAAATAAATATAACAAGTTATATATTTTAACAACACGCTAAAATATTTATGATATCATATATCATTTTTTGATTCATTTTTACGTGTTATTTATTTTTTTATCTCGTTATAAATAAATATAACAAGTTATATATTTTTATAACATGCTAAATTTTTATTATATTATATGTACAAAATTTATTTTGTTTTATATATGTTATTTTTGAATGAGTTATAAACAAATATAACATGTTATCGTAATTTATGGTGTGCTAAATATATAAATTATTATTTGTAAAATATATTTTCAATCAATTATAATATATACCTTGCTATGTTGACTGTAATAATATAATATATATTTTATTCATTTGTTCATAAAGTGACTTCATAATTGTTTGAATTTGTGTTAGTTTAGTGGTGGAAAAATGATAAAATAAAAAAAAAATCAAGAATAAAAAAGGCATAACACATTTAATGCAATACAATTCTCCACATACTCTCTCTCCTCTTTTCTCCTGCTCTCCCCCACGCGCATGCAGCATTCCTTCTGCTCAACCCTTTTTGTCTCTCATTTTTTACAGGTACCCTTTGGCTGAATGCTAATAGCCATTTTAGATAATGCTTCTCACCTAAATAAAGACCTAAAATATGCTAACCAGCAAATTTACTCTATTAAAAAAACATATTTAAATTTCTACAATACCCCTATTTAATAGGTTACAGAATTTTTTTGTTAATTTAATAAATGAATAGGGTTAAATCTGGAAATTATATTAAAATTCTGCAATGAAAATGTAAACGACACTTATAATGAAACAAAAATTAAACTATAAAACGACACTTATTATGAAACGGAGGGAGTATTATCAAAATAAATATTCTTTTTCCAAAATTTATTTCACTAATCCGGGTTCCCGAACCCAACACAAACTCGGACGGAACCGAACCGAAAATTAAAAATACCCGAACGGATCCTAAATTCTAAAACCGAAAGACACAATACCCGAAAAACCGGCAAGAATTGAACGCCCATGGCCAGGTTAATTTGTAGCTTGGGTATGAAGTAGAGTAAACTAATACTGTATAATGCTTTGCGATCTACATAATGATATATAATTATTTAAACCCAAAATTATGAAATATAGATATAGTTGAAGTGAAGTGAATGTTAGAATAAATGACCTTTAGTGAAAGGAGGGGTACACAACTACCCTATACCTTTTCTTTCAAATTTATTTTGGATTGTCATCAAGTGAACTTTGGATATAGTGATTATGGGGAAGCTTGAATAAAATATCCAATGGCTAAAATTAATCAGTGAAATAGTATGCTTACAACTCCTGGATAGGACTACTCCTGCTTGCTCTTGGCCTTGGCTGGTAGCAGCCGAAAGAAGACTCTCTTTTATTGTGATCACATCACATGTGCTTCGAGTCTAAGTACATTTGGTGTGCCTTTAGCCGTAGCTATTTTTTTTACTCGTTATCTAAATGGTTTGAGAATGTTACATTTATGCGGTTACTACATTTTCTTAAGAAAAAATATCCAAAATTATAACAATAATAGTTGTGGGAACGAGTATAGCGAAAATGTAGAGTATGCGGCAGTCTATTTTAAAGCTACATTTTCACAACTACATGCCTTAAAAAAACATGGCTTTAACTGTTATTATTTCAAAAAAAAAAAACTATATATAGTCTAATATAAAAACATTACAGTTAAAGTTCTTACCAATCAGGGCCTTATTTAGTATGATCTATATGGATTAACATTTTACTTTATAATATGCCACAGAAACGTCAATCATTGAATGTTGTGGTTAGAGTTGTTTATAACATTCTGTGCCTGTTAAAAGAATAGTTAAGTTATTTCTTAAACTTATTATCCAAACGGACAGCATGGAACAACACCTAAGTTTGTCCGATTATGATAACAGACTACCGCTTTCATTGACTCGCATCTAGCGACCCTAAGTTTGTCCAATAGTTTTCACATTACATTTGGCATATCTATGATCAAAATCCAACCCATTTGCTTACATTTGTAATCTTTGGAATATCTTTTCATGAAACTCTTTATATCAAATCGTACCAATAATTCCAAAGCAAAACCTACTATATATGATATAGATTCATACAAATATATTTTAATGTACCCTATATTTCTTTCTTTGTCAATACAATTGATATAAATTATTTTCGAGATATGCTTAAAGTATCAAACAAAAAATATGTTCTCTACAAAGAAAAATATGTTTTCTAAAATAAATAAAAAATATATGTATATGTTCTCCGAAGGCAACGATACTCGTGTCCAAATTTTACATTCACATTCTAAATATGAATCTTCAAAATGTAGACACCTTTTTGTATGTGCTAAATGTTCAAATTTTAGATTCAAAATGATTATTTAACTCCATATAAGTGTAGACCCTTGACCTATCTATATGTACTGTCATCCTTCGCCAGTCACTTACTCTTGGGGATTGGATGGATTTAAAGACACATTTTCACTCGTTCCAAATTACATTGGGTTTTAATTATGTTCAAATCATAGAAAACTAAGATGAAATACGAAAAATCTCGTGTTTTTATTCATTTACTAGCAGTTTCATTTTATAGTAAGATATAAAGGTAAACATAAATTACCAGTCCTCTTATATTAATTTTTTCTAGTAATTAAATTTGTTTCGCTCCATTCTTTGCACCCTAATTCCACAAAAGTTTGTCTGCTTAAGATAGGGATCTGCCTACGAAAATCTTGGGACACACTTTGTGTAGGTTTTAGGTCTATAATCATCATGTGTGGTTCTGTTCTGCACCAATTATTTAGGTTTTATTGCATTGATCCAATGATTCTCATTTCTCGGCCCATCCCAATAAATAAGGAGATGCATGCAATTATTTGAATATACGTTTGCGTCACACATGCATGTGGGTGAGTTGATCAGAAAATAATGCCAATGCGAAAAATAACTATCATTTCCACCACATGTGTTTGTATGTCAACAATCTACATAACGATAGCGTCAAAGATTAAACTTTTATGCTCTCAATTGTTTGTTTCTATGTCATTTGTCAAGAGCGATATTTTTTCTTTCTTTCTTTTTTAATATAACCGGAGAATCATGAGTTGAAAAGTCCAGATAAATTTCCAGTCTGTGGAGAGCTCTTTCTGTTACTGAAAAAATCCAGAATGGTCGACCATTATCCATGATCAAAATCATAGTGAAAACTTTGTTTTTGTTATCCGATAATGATGCTAACCATTAAAACTACAGTAAATTGGTTTATTAATAGCGATAGTTGTATTTGTTTTGGGACCAAAATATCTTCGTTTAG